ATCCACCATGCATCCATCCATCCATCCATCCATCCATCCACCCATCCACCCACCCATCCATTCATCTACTCATCTATCCACCATCCATCCATCCATCCATTCATCTACTCATCTATCCACCCACCAATCATCCATCCATCCATCCATCCATCCCATCCATTCATCTACTCATCTATCCACCATCCATCCATCCATCCATTCATCCAACATCCATTCATCTACTCATCTATGCACCCACCAATCATCCATCCATCCATCCATCCATCCCATCCATTCATCAATGCATGCATCCATCCATCCATTTGTCCATCCATCCACCCACCCATCCACCTATCCACCCATCCACCCACCCAACCTTTCACCAACCATCCACTCACCACCCCCAGCTATGGACTCTGCAAGAGTCCTGATACCACCATCCTTAAAATTTCAGCTCCTTACTAAGAAAAGATTGATGGTTCCAACGCATGAGCCACTCTTTGGAAAAACCGTAGGGTAGCAGTGTGTTCCTGTCAAGATTACACTCACAGAAATCCAATGAGGTGGTCAAGTTTACTCTCTTCTTTGATGACCTGGTGCTTAGAACCTGCACTTCAAACCCAGAGGAACATGGTTCGAATCCACCTACTGTTCCGAGGGAGAAAGATGGGCCATTGCCTTGCATCTGTGCGATTTGGTGCCTCCCAAAACTCGCCAGAGGGTTGGTCAGCCCTGGGTCAGTTCCCACTCAATCAACAACAACAACAACAACAACAACAACAACAACAACAACAACACAGTGTCCTAGAGAGCCTTGAGGGTGGAGAGTGGCATGTTGGGCTTCAAACTGACAGGTCAGTCCTTCAAGTCCACCCCAGACTCTTTGGGAGAAAGATGGCCAGTCTCCCTTCTGTAAGGATTTACAGACAGCAGACCGAAGGTTGCTCTGAGTTGAGATCAACTTGAGGGCAGTGGTTTTAAATGTTTGCTTTTGGCGATTGAAAAAAAAAAATGAGATCATTAAGCTCAACATCAAGAAAACAGAGATTCTTACCACTGGGCTGATTGGCTGCATTTTCATAGATGGTGAAGAGATTGAGATAGTTCACAGCTTCAATTTGCTTGGCTCCACAATCAACACTCTCAGAGCCAGCAGCCAGAAAATGAAAAGATGAATTGCATCTGAAAAGTCTGCTGTCAAGGACCTCTCCAAAGTCCTGAAGAGCAATGATGTCAATCTGGAGACTAAGGTGTGTCTGATCTAAGCCCTAGTCTTTGCAAAAGCTGGACAATGACTATGAATGATAGGAAGAGAATTGATGCCTTTGAGCTGTGATGCTGGAGAAGAGTGTTGACTATAACATGAACTGCTAGGAGAACAAACAGGTTCAACCTGGAGAGGATGAGACCAGGCTGCTCCTTGGATTCAAGGATTCTGAGGCTTTGTCTGACATACTAGGGGCATATAGCAAGGAGGAACTAGTCCTTGTAGAGGGATGTCATGCTTGGGAGGATAGAGGGATGGAGAAAGAGAGGGAGACCATCAATGAGATGGATTGATTCAGTGACTGGGGTCATGGGGGTGGGTGTGTCAGAGACAGTGAAGTTGGCTCAGGATAGAACAGGTTTCAGGGCAGTTGTACACAGGGTTACTATGAGTTGCACATAACAGCAGCAACAACAACAACAATAACAATTATGCATTAGAATGGAATCCACAGAATATGTCTCTATTTTTTTTATAAATCCTTGATCTATCCATTATCCCTCTAACAAAATATGTACATTACACTGATTCTTGTAGGCACAATTTCATATCATCTTTCTTGACAACCTCTCCCAGATATTTTCCACCAATACTCACACATCTCTCCCTGTCTTTACCTTCTCATCTATCCTTTCAAATGGCTGTTGTCAATTTGATCACAGTTTGATCATTCTTTAAAAGAATGCAGTGCTCCAGGCAGATTTGATTGTCTAATGAGGCTAAACCTGTATTTGGTTTGAAGACGATTTCAGGAGAAAGCTTTGATTCATAGCTTAAAGGTTTCCTCGGAGTAATAATTTCAGGGAGTCATCCAGCCTCAACATCTCCAGGAAGTCTGGATTCCATGAAAATTTTAAATTCTGTTCAACATTCCACCCTCCTTTTGATCAGAACTCTGTTATAGAATCCTGGGTCTAAATCTTCAGTCATGATACCTGGCCACCATCTACGTCTTCTCATCTCATAACCATGGTAGCAGTTTTCCATGGAGATGTTGGACACGTATCCTGTCTCCTTACAGGGGATTTCTTTAAAGACCCACTTCCAGAGGCGGATCTATACATCCTGGCAAGGGTGCTGCATGACTGGACGGATGAAAAGTGCTCAGAATTGCTGGCGAAAATCCACCACACCTGCAAGCCAGGTGAGAAGTAGAGGGTGATGCTGATTGCACAGATGTGGGATGCTCCAGTCAGGATTCCTGATGTGCATTCCAGAGCTTCATCCAGACAGGGAAATGTGGTGGTGGAGACAGGAAGTCCTCGTGGAGGTCAACCAGAAGACTAGGGTGGATGTAGAAGGTCTGAAAGATGGACAGCTGGTGGCTGTCAATTCTCTCTCTCTCTCTCTCTCTCTCTCTCTCTCTCTCTCTCTCTTTCTCTTCCATCCTCCATTCTCCATCATCCATCCATCCATCCATCCATCCATCCATCCATCCATCCATCAATCCATCCCCCCACCCACCCACCAATTTGTTTCTGTGTTGGTCAATCTGTTATTTTTCTAAGTTCAATTGTCTATCCATCTATCATTTATCTACCTATTTTTCTTTACATCATCCACCCACCCTTCTTTTCATCCACTCACCTTTTATCCATGCATCTATCCATCCATCCACACGTCAATCCATCATCTATCTACTCTCTATCCATCTACCCACCTACCAACCAATCCATCTATCCATCCATCCATCCATCCATCCATCCACCATCTATCCCTTCATCCATATACTCATTATCTATTCATCCATCCATCCATCCACCCACTTACCACTCATCCATCCAACCACCTACACTTTAAACCATCATCTATCTACTCTCCATCCATCTACCCACCCACCAAACCATCCACTCATCCATCCATCCATCCACATATCCACTCATCTATCTATCTATCTATCTATCTATCTATCTATCTATCTATCTATCTATCTATCTATCTATCTATCCATCCATCCATTACTCATTTATCCATTCTTCCATCCTCTCATCTCTCCATCCGTCCACCCATCCACCCTCCCATCCATCTCCCCCCTCCCCAGGTGGTGGCATTCTGGTGGTTGAGAGTGTCCTGGAGGAGGACAGGCGGGGGCCGCTGACCACCCAGCTGTACTCTCTGAACATGCTCGTGCAGACAGAGGGCCGGGAGAGGACCCCAGCCGAGTACCGCAGCCTCATCTGCTCAGCCGGCTTCCAGGACTTCCAGCTCAAGAAGACGGGGAAGATTTACGATGTGATTTTAGCCAGGAAATGACTCCACTTGTGGGGTCAGCCAGGGATCTCCAGAGAGACAAAACTATAGCCTGGATGTTTTCACCTGTCCATTTGTCTCTCTGCCCATCTGCATTCTTCTTTCTTTTAATCCATTTCCTGTCATCTACTTTCCTACCTACCTATGTCTGTCTGCTGTTTGCCTGTCTGTCTTCTCTTGATTTACCACATCACCATCACCTATTTCTCTTTCCATCTATCTGTAGAACTTCCTAGCATCTATCTCTTTACCTATCTATAGATACAGATCTCTATTTGTTTATGACTAAAACTTTATTTCTGAATATTCATGAACAAATAGATATAGAGAGTAGTTGTGCTGTATATAGATCTGTATTCTCTCTCTCTATAGATCTTTGCTACCCATAATCTATCTTTTGACTTGTCTTCTGTCCTGTATTGATTCTGTATCTATAATCTTCCTTTTACCTATAATCTGTCCATCATCCGTATATGTCTACTCTCTCTGTTTATCTGTGACTGGTCTTCCAGCTACAATTTATCTTTATATACAATTGATCATCTTTCTTTTTATATCTGTCTGTATCTAGACATCTCTCTGTCATCTAGGCTTTATCTGTAACCTATAATTTATATGTTATGTATCTATTCATCCATCCCCCATCATCAATCTATATATTTATCTATCTAGCCTCTATCTCTTTATTTACAATCTGCTTACTATCTATCTATTATCTATCTACCCACCGATCTATCTATTATCTATTCATCATCTATCTACCCATCGATCTATCATCTACCTTTCCCTATCTATCTTTATCTATCATCTACCATTTATCTATCTATCTACCTACCTATCTTTCCATCCATCTACTCATTTCCTGTCATCTCTCAGTCTGTCTACTAATCCATCCATCCATCCATTATCTATCTATCTATCTATCTATCTATCTATCTATCTATCTATCTATCTATCTATCTATCTATCTCTTTCTATATCTGTCTGTCTTTATCTAATCTTTATCTATCTATCTATCTATCATCTATCTATCTATCTATCTTTCTATCCACCATCCACCCACCCATTTATCCATCATCTCTGTAGCTATCAACCTGTTATCTGTCTCCTTATTTATAGCTTCTCCATCATCTATGCCCCCCCAAATTCTTCTCTATGCATGTGTACAGCTTTCTCTATCATTGACCTATCTTCATGTCAGTGCTTGGTCTATTCACTCTGTACTGATCCATAACTCGTGTACCTCTTGTCAGCCTAGAAATCTCTTCCTCCATCATTTAGCCATGAGAGCTGTGTCTCCGTTCCTCTCTCTCGGTGTATCTCTGCCACTCTCTCTAGAGAATCTTTAGGTTGTTGTATTGCTGCATTTGTTTCTGTGTCATCAACATAGATTCTACAGCTGTACCTTGTTGATTGCCTTTGAGTCAAGCACAACTCCTAGCGACCCCATGAACAAAAGACCTGAAGCCCCTGTACAACTATCGACATTTATCTAAGTTCATACGGTTTTTGGATGCATGTTACTTAGGAAGTGGATGACACTCCTGCTTTCAAAAAATCTATATTTATTGGCCTAGATTATCTATAATATTATCCCTCTCTCTCACACACACCTTCTCTTTCCTCCTCCTCCTCCTTCTTCTCCTTCTCCTTCTTCTCCTCTCTGTCTCTCTCTCTCTCTCTTTCCTTCCTTTCCTGTCTCTCTCTCTTTCTCTACACACACACACACACACACACACACACACACACCCTTTATCCTCCTAGATCATCTATGTTTAATCTATATGTATATTTAACCTACATTTCTATCATCTTTGTCTCTCATATATCTGTCAGCCTAGTTCTCAGTCTGTTATCTGTCCTGGAGGAAATGCATCCAGGGTGGTCCTTGGAGGCCAGCATGGGGAGACTTGGTCTCACTTCTTTCGGGCCAGAGGTCAGGAGGGGCTAGTCCTCAGAGAAGGACATTCTGCTGGGGAAGGTGGAGGGTCAGTAAAGGGGAGGGAAGGCTTTCGTCAGCCCTAAACAGGATAGAAAGAGTCAAAGCTGGCTCGAGGGCTCCTACACACCACAGCAAGTCACCTATTACATATCTAACTCCCTCCAACCCTTAGCGATCACATTTCATGGACATTAACACACACACCTGGACCATGATCACTGTGAACACCCTTGTTTGATGGGCTCCTTTCGTCATCCTATTCCACAAGGCCATCAAAGAAGCATCTATTCCCACATCAAAGCTCAGAAGGGCAGGGGAGAAGGGTGAGTGGAAAAGGGATTATCAAGTTGGGAGTGGGAGGAGGGCTGCAACATTGGGGGACCTTGCAACAATGTTGTTATAGAACAGAATGTATCTGTGAATGGTTGAATGAGAAACACTTGTGTTCTGTCCTGTTCACCCAAACCACAATAAAGTATTTACAGAATGAAAATGTGTATAGAAAGTACTATAATCAGGGGGGCTCAGGGCAGTGCATTTGGAGGACTGAATGGATGTGGGATGTGGTGTTAAGTAGAGGTGTCTTTGAACCCCAAATTTCTGTTTCTCTCCCACCTGTGGGATGCTGATTAGCTGCATCAACCCCCAACATGTCCCACCCCAAACACAAGCCCACACCACTGCCTTCAAGACCTTTCTGACCCATAGGGACCCTCCACCAAGTTTCTGAGGTTGCAAATAGATTTAAAAAAACAAAACAAAAAACAACCTGGTGATTTGATTGAATGTTAACAAAGCAAGTTCATGTGTTAAACACTCACACACCTGTTGTTCCTTAACATTCATTTCAATACCTACCCTGCCACGCAACTTTTCCTGCTTCCTACCTGTCATGCTCGCTTCCGTTCATTCATCACCACCCCCTCTCTCTTCTTTCTCTCTCCCTCTCCCTGTATTTCTATCTCTCTCTTCTCTCTCTCTCTCCTGTCTCTCTTTCTCTCCTGTCTGTCTCTCTCTCTCCTGTTCTCTCCCCTCTCTCTTCTCTCTCTCCCCCTCCTCTCTTCTCTCTCTTCCCTCCCCCCTCCTCTCCCCTCCCCTCCCTTCCTCCACCTCTGTGTCTTGTCTTTCTCCCAAGGACCTACTGGTAGATTCAAACAGACAGCCTTTTGGTGAGATCACTGGTGACACTACGATTAAGGCATTACTTTGCTAACTAAAAAATCAGCAGTTTGAACCCACCCCTTGCTCTTGGCGGGAGAAAGCTGAAGCCGTCTGCTTCTGTAAAAATTCACAGCCTCAGAGACCCCGTGGGTCAGCTCTGCTCTGTCCTGCAAGGTCACTGGGAGTCAGACACAAATGAATCCCAGCTGGTGACCCTGTATCTCAGGCCTGGTCTACTCTAGGAGAGACCTGCCTTCCCTCCACACTGTGTGTGTGCTCAGTGACACACAGAGGCTACTGGAGAGATACTATGTATCTAGACTCTCAGGAGCCCTGCTGGCACAGGGGGGACACACTCAGCTGTAACCACAAGGTCAGGGGTTTGAACCCACCAGCTGCTCCAAGGCAGAAAGTTGAGGCCGTCTGCTTCTGGAAAGATTCACAGCCTCGGAGACCCCATGGGGCAGCTCTGCTCTGTCCTGCAGGGTCGCTGGGTCACAATCTGCTAGATGATTAATTAGTTTGATTTTTTTTTCCCTGTCCCTTTCTCCCCCCTTCCCTTCATTTTCAGACCACTTCATTCCCTCTCACTGGCCACATTTTTGGTGACCTGGTCAATCCAGGATCTCAAGCCCTATTTATATCATCTATATCCTTTGTAAGCCTATTGACAGGTGTGTTTGGTTTTTGTGTCTTTTTTTTTAACGAGAATTTCAGGTGAAGCTTGTTTTTACAATCGCTTCCCTTGGAGAAGACACCAGTAAGCTCCAATCAGGACCTTGGTCACTAACGTGTGTCCCCCCTGTCTTTTTGCCTGTCTGTCCTAACAAGTCTGTTTTATTTGAATCATTCAAACCATCAACGAAAACAGAGACCTTGTGAGAGCTCCCCTGTCAGCTGTGGGATTTCTGAAAGAAAATACTGAAATGCAGCAAAAATGAAATGACAATGGTGTGTGTGGTGGGGAAAACACAGTAGAATTCTGTTGTGAAAAAAAAATGCATTTTCTTCTTTTGCTTTTAAGGAGAACTGGGAGTGGGGGGGGTGGGGGGGAGAAAAATGCAACAATGAATGAATGGAAATCCGAAATCTCTGTAAATTTTCATTGAAATTAATTTTAAAAAGGGAGGGGAGATAACTAAATTCAGGACAATAAAATGTGTGACAGCATGATTAAAAAAAAGAAAGTGCATCTTCACAAAACAACGATGAGATATCATCTCACCCCTCTCAGAATAGCAAAACATAACAGAACACAGAACAACAAATGGTGGCGAGGTTGCAGAGAGACTGGAATCTTTATTGACTGTTTGTGTGAGTGTAAAATGGTGCAACCATTATGGAAGGGTGTATGGGGCTTTCTCAAAAAGGTGCCCAAAAAAATGCATCTTCTCTTGCTGTTTTGAGGTCCTGTTATGTTGACGATGACTCACAGTGACCCCCCCCCCCCCCGTGAACCACAGATCTGAGCCCTGTCCTGTCCTCACCCTCTCTGACATGGTCCAGCCCATGGCTGTGTCCATCCTCCTTCCACAGAAGGATGCCCTTCTCCAACGATTGGCCCCTCCTGACCACATACCCCAAGCCTGAGAGACCAACATTCCCCATCCTGGTCTCCAAGAAGCATCCTGGCTGTCACTTCCTTCAAGACACACTTGGGAGGTTATTTTAGCAGTCCGCGGAATATTTAACGCTCTCACATCACAATGCAAAGACTTCGATTCTTCTACCATCCTTATTCATAGGCTAACGTTAAGATTGTTGTTGTTGCTATGTGCCGTCGAGTCGCTTGCGACTCATAGTGACCCTATGTACAACAGCCCTAAACCCTGCTCTATCCTGTACCAATCGCACTGCCTCTGACACATCCATCCCGATTACCCCAGTCACTGAATCAATC